ATAAATAAATAAAGATACTTAAAAAAAAAAAAAGGTGTATATTAAATGTGTCAAATGAGGTTTTCACAGAAAGAGAGAGTGAACAATCAAGAATAATATCATATAGATCACATAGCATTTTCTGTTTCTTTAGAAATTTCTTCTATTTTCTTGTTCCAGAAGTTAGAGGTGATTCTGTGTAGGCAGAAGTGAGAGGAAAAAAAAAAAAAAGGTGTATATTAAATGTGTCAAATGAGGTTTTCACAGAAAGAGAGAGTGAACAATCAAGAATAATATCATATAGATCACATAGCATTTTCTGTTTCTTTAGAAATTTCTTCTATTTTCTTGTTCCAGAAGTTAGAGGTGATTCTGTGTAGGCAGAAGTGAGAGGATTAGGTAGTTTAGTGGGTTTCTTAGTCCTGGATCACCCTCTACTGTTGATAAAGTGAAGTGCAATTTATTTAATCGATAGGCCTGAAAGAGGTTTGTGTGTTGGGATTCATTTTGTTTTTATAGAGTTCTTAATTTTCACTATTTGCTTTCTTCTTTGGTTCATTACCTCTAGTCCCATGGACTTTTAATCCCTTTCCTTTAAGTTGTCCATAAATGAGTGCGGGCCTCAGATATTAGCATTTCATCACTTTAAAGGGAGAACTTTCTCTTTTCAGAAGTTATTTTATTTGTTCTACCAACCCTAGGTTCTACTGATCTTCCTCTTTTCCACAGTCTCTCCTGGACTGTCTTACCAGTTGAGCTTTGGATGTTTATTTCCTACTTCCTACTATTTGATCACTTGTTTAAGATAGTATCCACCTGCTACTAGAAATTGTTCTGGAGAGAAATAGTGGTTCATGGCTTTCAATGAAAAAATGTAGAATGTGTTTTGACTAATTGGGAAACACTGAGTTATGAGTCTTTGTCTTCTAGCTACTTTGAAGATGAATTATGATTTTATAATTTCAAAGTTCATTCATGTTGTAGCATGAATCACAGATATAGGCTTTTAAAGTAATAATTTCCTCTACAATATCTACTGATTAGACTCTAGTATACCAACTTGTTAGAATAGAAGTTTTTATTCCAGCCTTAGGGATCAGGAAATTCTTCGTGGAGGAGATGATGTTTATCTGAGATTTGAAGAATGAGTCAGGAGAATAGGGCAGTGGGAGGTAGCTAGAAAAATGTTCCAAAGTGAAGAAACAGTATGTATATAAAAGCCTGGCATGAGATAGACTGTGTTGTATTTAGGGCCCTGAGGGTTTCTTGGCATGGATGGAGGAGCTTAGAGAACAAATAGGAAAGTGGCAACAGATTATACTTGAAAGACTGGCAAAGGATACAACATGGTTAATTCTTGGTGAAGAAAAAGATAAAAGATACTATCAAAATAGATTAGTCCTTCTGTCATTACTTGTGGGGTAGGGAAAATTTATGCCTTGTATTCTAAAACACACAATTTGTTGATTTATCCAGGAAATTAAGATCAAGAATGAAGACTGGGGACCTTCAGATGGCATAATGGTTATGTCACTGAACTACCACATAATCGACCACGGTTCAAGTCCTGGACCTAGAGGCTTAAAACTCACACTGGGGGCATGTGCATGCATGGCCAAAATTCTGAGAGGGGAATGGAAGAGAAGATATTGTGGCCTGGCCATCCCCCCTGGAGGATGATTTCTTGCTTTCTATCTCTCTCTGGTGAGCACACAAATCCTTTAGCAAAAATCTTTCTTAAAACAAAAAAGAATGAAGACTGTGTGGACCACTTAAAGGTCAACAAAGTTTGGGAATCTAACTTGCTGGTGATACGGGCATCATTAAGCATTTGGCAAATAACTCTCATTCTTTTTTACGCCTGTGATTCTTTCAATCATCCCAGATAACATAAACATCCATGAGAAAAATCAACTCTTATATTATTTGTGCCCTTTTCTTGGGATTTTACTTCCTTGTATGAAGTCACTGTGATCTCTCAGAATGTCTTTCATAGTGTCTTTTTACCTTAGATACTCATTAATTTTACTCTGAAAGTTTGGTAATATATTAACTCTGTAAATAGTTCTAAATGTCAAGCCCTACCAGAAGTAATGACACCAGCCTACCTTTACTCTGCCATTCTGAAAAAAAAGAGTCCAGTGATGGCCATCATTACTGCTGGAAATGAGGAACTCCTTCACGTACATGCTGATAAGGAGAGATTTCACTCCCTGGGTGGTGATTCCTGTGACTTTCCTTATCTTCTGGAAGTCCACTTGCAGCCACTCTTTTGGATTATTTACCTGAGGAAGACAGAATTTGACTAGTATCCTGTTTGTCATCATTTACTTCCAGAAATCCACAAATCCCTAATTAATAATTTTCAGAACTTATAACTGTATTTTAATGGTTTGTCAATTTTCTTACTAGACTCTAAGCAACTTGAGGTCACAAATTTTTCATAATTTATCTCAATATCCCCAGGGCCAGCAACTAACTAGGTGTCCAGTAAATGTTTTCCAAATAAAAATGTGAGCCATATATAGACTGATTAGAGTATAAAAAGTTTGGCGATGTGGTATATGTCCTGTTTCGTTTAAAATGAGGCCCTGGAGAAGCAGAGACTTCTCTGTATTCATTAACCCTAAAAAGCTATTCAGTGATTGAAAATCACAAACTAGGTGGCTCTGGAAAAGATATATGCCCAGGGAACTATATATTAATGTAACCTTTTCCTTTGAGAAACCTGGGAGGAAAAGCAAATTGATATTTATCTGTTAAACTGGACTTTAACTACTATGATTTTTTGACAGATATCAGCCCAATAGGTTCAACTAGAGATAAGTAAAGAATACTCTGTGAAATAACATGGCTTTTTTTTTTTTTTTTTTTTTTTTTTTTTTTTTTTTTTTTAATTTTTTTGGGTTTTTTTTTTTTTTTTTTTTTTTTCTAAATGTTTGTGGGGTCGTCTGCCAACAGTCAAGCTTCCTTTACACTCTTCAGGAACAACAGTTGACATAAACACATCTAAAGAAATAGTCAAGAACTTCCTTGACTTTTTCCCAACAACTGCTCCCTACTCTGGGTCAGTTAAATAGTAAAACTGTTGCCTCTTACCTGAGGTCTCCAGGCATTAGTCCTCCCCTGGAGGTGAAGTCGGGCTTGTGAAGGAGACCAGGTGGCAAATAAATTGGTAAAGTAGGATGAAGCAGTAATCTGTGCATCTGATATTGCTTTACTCTCCATTCCCAATGGCATGCTGCAACCTCAAAGAAATGAAAGAAGAATATTACTATAAGGAGAGGCTGCAACCAGTATTTCTCCTGGGCCATCTCTGCCAGTACTCTAGGACTACTATCACTGTAAAATCATTTCTCAGGCATTAACTTTTACACAGATTATGTTATTGTTAACATGTCCCTGTTTTCTGGTCATCTATACTTAGCTGTTTTATGTTTGATTTTTCTGAATATTAGTATAGGAGGTGGATGCCTGTAGGGAGTCTTCATAGGGGTAGCCTAAATCCTGAATTTTCTCAGACTGTGTTGGTTTTAGCATAGATAGTTCTGTGTTCTGAGACTGGGAACTCCTCTTCTGGCTTCAAGATAACTTGGACAGTTAGTCACCCTACCCATGATTTGGAGAGGGAAGAATTTGGGGTGACTTGGCACTTACTATTTAAATCACAGCCCATCAGCTCCATGCGAAGAGTGCTGCGAATGCTGTAATGAGTTGGGTGCAAACGGATATACTGAGCAATAATTGGAGGATTAAAAATATTGTGCTTTATCCCAGATGAATCCACATTGCCAAAGAAGACCTGTAGGGAGGAATTAGCAGATATATGGACGGTGAATACAGAGTAAAAAGTAATTTCTCCCAATCACATGTTTCTTCAATTCTGCTTTGCACATTTCTCAGTAGCATCCAAAATCCAAATAAACCATTCTGGATAGACAGATATTAAGATGGCATAAATGAAGGGTGAATAGCACTATAAAGAAGAGAGGAACAAGAGATATTAGACCTGGAGCAAATGAAGTAGTTTTTACTTGGAGTTCCTGTAAAAACTCATAAAAGTTGAGGAATCCATTTGGGGCTTTGCTAATCCAGCATGGTCCACAGACCAGCAGCAGCAACATCACCTAGAGCAATTAGAAATGCAAGTATTAGGAGAGTGAAATGAGCAAGTTGGTAGAATAGAAGGCCCCCAGTTTTTGTCCTCCCGAAGGAACAGTGATTTGGTGACAGAAACTTTGTGGGAGCCTTGATATCTAGGAACTTAAGACCAAGGATGATTACTTTGATGTGGCAAGCTTAGATTCTGGTGCCAGGCCTGCAAACTGTGGTTCTGGCTGTGGACCCAGAATCAACCTTGTGACTCATTTCAGCCTTTTACTATCATGGTCTGGAGGCAATTCTGCATACTCAGGGAACTTGTGTTAGGCATGCTGATCCTTACCTTCAGAGACAGGGTTGCTTACTGGACCTGACTATGGACCCAGAAGTAGTCCTGTGATCCAACTCCAGTCTAGTTCTACCATGGTCTGAAGGCAATCCTGCTGGCAAAAGAACCTGGCAGAAGCCATGCCCATCTGTGCCCTGTACTAGGCCTGCTGATTATGGGCCCAACTGGGGACTATGAAGTAGTCCTCTGATCCAGCTCCAGGCTTACTCCACCATGATCTGCAGTCGGTTTTGTCTGCCCAGTTGTCCATAAGGAGCCACACTTGTTCATACCCCTGGTAATGGGTCCACTGACTGAGAACCCAATTACATACCCAGAAGAGGTGTTTGCTCTTTCAAATGCAGACATCAATACAATGCTACATAAGTCATGAGAAATCAGGCAAACATGACACCGCCAAAGGAAACTAATAAAGCTTCAGTAACCAGTCCTGAAGAAATGGAGATCCATGAACTGCTTGAAACAGAATTCAAATAATCATTTAAAGAATTTCAGTGAACTACAAGAGAGCAAAATAGATAACTAAAAAATGAAGAAAACAACACATAAACAAATGAGAAGTTTAAAAAGAAAAGCCATAAAAAACACACAGAGAAATCATGAAACTGAAAAATACAATGAATGAACTGAAAAGATCAATAGGGACCTTTTATAGCAGATTCAATCATGCAGAAGAAATAATGATTTTGAAGACAGGGCATTTGAAATTATTCAGTTAAAAGTACAAAAGTAAAAAATAATAAGAAAGTGTGGGAAGCATATGGGACTTATGAGACATCATCAAGTGAAATAACCACCTTGTAGAAGTCTTAAAAGGAGAAGAGAGTAAGGAAGCTTATTTTTTTAAATGGCTGAGAAATTTCAAAATCTAGGATGGGCAAGGGAAATATCAATTCATGAAACCCAAAAGTTCCCAAACAAGTTGGATCCAAAGACATCTATAATAAGACACATTATAATTAAATGATCAAAGTCAGAGGCAAAATGAGAATTTTGAAAGCAGCATGAGAAAAACACTTTGTCATATACAAGGGAGCCCACATAAGACTATGAGTGGATGTCTCAGAAGAAACCTTTTAGGCCAGGACAGAATGGAGCACTATTTCAAAGTAAGGGGGAAGAAAAACCCCAAAACCTTCAAGCAAAAATACTTATCTGGAAAAATTGTCCTTTAAGAATGAAGAAGAGAGGGAACCAGCAGTTAGCGTAATGGCTATGTCGCTGGACTCCCACGTAGTCAACTGCGGTTTGTGTCCCAGACCCGGTGGCTTAAAACTCACGCCAGGCGCGTGTGCGTGTGCACCCAAGATCCCGAGAGGAGAATGGAGGAGAAGGGATTGCGGTGTGACCATCCCCCATGGGGGGTGATTTCTTGCTTTCTGTCTCTCTGTCTTTCTCTGGCAAGCATACATGCCCTATAGCAAAAACCTCTAATAAAAAAAATTAAAAAAAAAAAAGAAGATAAAGGCTAACTGGCAGTATGGTAGTTAAAGTGAGTATATCCGACATGGCAAACTGTGTTGTTCAAGTCCTGAACCTGGTAGCTTGAGAAATAAACCAGGTAGGGACCAGCAGTTAGTGTAATGGCTATGTTGCTGGACTACCATGTAGTTGACCATAGTTCGAGTCCTGGACCCAGTGGCTTAAACTCATGCTGGGCGTGTGTGCATGCATGGCCAAGATCCCGAGAGGAGAAAAGAGGAGAAGGAATTGCGGCGTGGCCATCCACCTGGGGCGTGATTTCTCGCTTTCTGTCTCTCTGTGTCTCTCTCTGTCTTTCTGGCGAGCACACGTGCCCTATAGCAAAAAAAAAAAACCTCTCAAAAAAAAAGGTACATATGCATATATGCTCAAACTCCTGAAAAGAGGGAGAAATGAAGTAAAGGAATTTTGTCAAGGTCATGCACCATGGGGAATGTTCTCTTTCTGTGTCTGTATATAATACAGGTAAAAACATATATTTTGGGTCGTCAGAAAAGTCATGACATATTTTTCTGTTTTTCTATGCAAAAATGGGTTATGAATTTTCCAAAGACCCAATATATAATAAATGTTGATTATCAGTTTGTGACTAAACTGTATATGGTAGACCAAACATTTATCTCCCAAGGATGTCCACATCCTAATTCCCAGAATCCATGGATATGTTATGTTGCATGACATAGAGGCCTTAAACTTGCTGGTGAAACTGGGTTTGGTAATAAACTGACCTTAAAATAGGGAATTATCCTGGATTACCCAGGCAGATCCAATGTAATCACAAGGGTCATTAAGAGTAGAACAGGTAGGGACCAGTAGGTGGCATAGTGGTTAAAGCACTGGATTCCCACATGGTCAACAGCAGTTTGAATCCTAGATCCAACAATTTGAACTCAGTCCAGGTGCATGTGCATGCATGCCCAAAATCCTTAGAGGAGAATGGAGGAGAAGGGATTGTGGTGTGGTTATCCCCCTAGGGGGTTATTTCTCTGTCTCTGTCTCTCTGTGTGCTATGGTGAGCACATATGCCCTGTAGCAAAATTTTCTAAAAAAAAAAAAAAGGTGGAAGAGGGAGGCATATCAAGAGAGTCATAAAGGACACATGACTACTAAAGGATAGTCAGAGAGATATAACCTTATGGCTTTGATGGAGAAAAGGAGTTGTGACCTAAGGATTGTATATGGTCTCTAGAAGCTGGAAAACGATCCCTCCCTCCAGCCTCCAGAAAAAGAACGTTGTTCTGCTGGCACTTTGATTTTAGCCCAGTGAGGCCAGTGTCAGTCTTCTGGCCTATAGTATGCTAAGCTAATAAATTAGATAATAAATCTGTGTTTTAAACCATTAAGTTTGTGATGATTTGCTATGCCAGTAATAGAAAACTGATGCATTCTATACATTGGCTTTCCCTTAATTTATTAATCAAACTTTGTTCCTTGATTAGAAACCTGGAGACAATATATTAATTTAACAAATAGCTAATTATTACACAAATCCTAGATTCTATGTATTATGTGCCAAGTAGTTCACTAAGAGGTTTCACTGGTGAATTCTACTAAATGTTTAAAGAAGGATTAACACCAATTCTTCCCAAAGTCTTCCAATTAATGATTCCTTGATAGAAAAGGAGAAAAAACATTTTAAATCATACAATGGAGCCAACTTTACCTTGATATGAAAGCCAGACAAATACACTAAAAGAAAAAAATATATAGCCCAATATCCCTTATGCATCCAAATTGGAGAAGAAGTAAAACTACCTTATTCTCAGGTGAGATGAGCTTATAGAGAAAAAACCCTAAAGCATCCACAAACACAATATAAGAGATAATAAACGAATTCAATGAAGTTGCAGAATATGAAGTAAGCACACAAAATCAGTTGTGTATTTATATCCACTAGCAATGAACAACCTGAGATGAAATTAAGAAAACAATTCTACTTAATATAGTACCAACTGACCTGTTGAATCTAAAAATATCTATCCCATAGAAATAGTGTAGACTACTGATTACCACAGACTGGGAAAGGTAAGTGATGAGGATAGGAATGGGGAGAAAATATGTACAATGACTTAAAGATCTAAACAAATGGAGAGATAGCCTATGATCGTGGATTAAAATAGTTAATGTTATTAAGGTGGAAATACACCCAAAATGATCTTCAGATTTAACACAATCCCTATAAAAGTCCCAGTGGATTTTTTCTTTTTTGCAGAAATGGAAAATGCAATCCTAAGGAATCTCAAATAGCCAAGTTAATATTGAAAAAGAATAGAGTTGGAGGACTCACACCTATTTCAACACTTAATATAAAGTCACATTTAACATTTTGTGATATCATTATAAGGATAGACATGCAGATCAATGAAATAGGACTAAGAATTTAGAAGTAAACACATAAATCTGTTCATGGGTATATACTCCAAAGAATTGAAAACGGTGTTGAAACAAAAATTTCTACAGGAATGCTCATGACAGCACTATTCATAAGATCCAATAGGTAGCATAGAGGATCAAAGGATGCCACTCCAAAATATGTCACGTTGAAACATTGATTACTTTAAATTAAAAATGCTTGAAAACCAGCAGATGCGAGAAGTGCACTCTGTCTTTCCTTTTTGCTTCTCAAAGAGGAGATAAGACTCTCATGTGAAAGGTAACTTCTCTGTACCAAAAGGAAGAAAGACATTTTTGGTAACAGAGAAAAAGTAGAGGCCAAGGGAAGATTAAAAAGTAGAGGCCAAGGGAAGATTATAAACAAACCTTGTTAAATTAATCCTTATCTTAGTGATTTCCCCAAAATTAACTGTTCTAATCCACACCACTTGCCTTGGGGTGTGAGACAAACACACCCAAAGAAAACAATTGCTGAA